TCCTTGTGGGAAGCTTTTCCATACAACCAGAAAGAGCACGATCCACAGCCCACCAAAAGGAAGAGTCTTGGGGAATGCAGAGGAGATGAAAGGCACAAAACCAAAGCCTGGCATTACTGCAACCAACAGCAAAACATCAGTCATACCCACAGGACACCACTGTGTGCACCCTGAAGAGCCCCTTGCAGGCCCTGGGCCACTGCCAAGGTGTTTCCAGGGGGCTTGCCAGGCCTGCAGGTATGAAGAGAGCTCTCCCAGTCCTCGTGCTTTGCCCATAAAGCCCTTCTCTCCCAACCAGCCAGACCTAGCAGTCATGGCCTGAGCAGACACCGTCCTCCCCTCAACTTTCATCCTTCTGGCAAGCCAAAGATGAACATGATCACACGCATCATCTCACCACAGCCTCTCCCAGATGCAGGACAACAAGTTTTGCTTTCTGCTTCCTCTCCCCAAAGGTTTCTGTGAAAGCAACCCCCGGCACACACAGATAGATGTCTTCACATCATCTGCAAACCGCCCCAGTCCTCACGGACACCCATCTGTGCTGCAGTGTTTGCTGTAAGGCACGATTCACCCCGTGCCAGCACAGAGGAGCGTTTGGCAGAGCCCTTGGCCAGGGCAGCTGAGCAGCCCATCTCCGCTACATACAGAGCGAGGGGCATGAGAGGCACCTCTTCCCTCCGACACTTATCATTTACACCTCGTGAAGCAGAAGATTTTAATGAAATACCTTCTCCTCTAGTTCTTGTGCTGTCTCTGCAGAGTAGCTGCAAGTATTAGAGGGGTTTACAAGAATCAACAAAACCACCCCAAACCAAATTTTGACTGGAGAGCTTCAGCCATCGGTTTTACTTGGTTCCTGTGAATTTCAACATCCATCATAAACATGAGAAGCATATTTCCCAAAGCAATTAAAGACGCAGCGTATGTACTTCCATTTCAGACTATAAATCCAGGGTTCAGTTAAACTCACTGAATACTATTTTGCACCTGAGAAGATATTTTCCAACAAACACAACAAATTATTTTATTGACTGTATGCCTTCTACTCAAGGCTGCTACATCCTCCCAGCTCCCACCAATAACAACGATTGTTTCTTTTATAAGCCCTTAAAATGTTGCTATTGCCTCAAAATTATGTGGATTTTCCTGACAAATTGCATATCCTTTTTGATTCAAATGGAGCTGCACAGAGGAGAAACAAGGCTCAGAACATGTGAGCTTGCTGTCAGGACTCCTCACCTACTACTTTTCAGGACACATTAACATCACAGACATCTGCCTGCCTGCCACATCTTTGCATTCACGAAGCACCTGCCAAAATTCACAGGCTGCAGAAGCTGCTGCTGAATCATTTCCCAGCTCTGGCTCCTATCACTGGGATTGAAGTTTTGAGATCAAAGAGGAAAAAAATTGCGGAGTATCTTGTTTGCATGTCACCAATGCCATTTTGCTGCAAGGCAGCTAGAGAAAGACACACATAGACAGGAATTATTGGCAGAAAGAGAGAGAGCATGGCAAGAAAGCCTGGCTACAGAAAGACCAACCCCACAAATTGGGTGTTTTACAAAGCAGCACACACCCTCAGTCCATCTAAGTACAAACCATCAAAGAATCTAGTGTCATAGATACCCTGAAAAACAGCATCAGGAAAAGGCCATCTTCTTGTCAGTGGACATGCTGCTCCCTGGACACCCCCATGCTGCACTGACTCACCGCAACCTGCTCCTGCCCTTCTGTCATGGGTCTTACGCCAATTTTCTTACAGGTTTGTCTGCTGGAATTAAGAGAATGTTGAAGAGTCTTTGTTCTAAATTCATGTTTTTAAGTTACTTTGTAGCTCACGTAGGCTTAAAAGAACATTATCATCCTCCCCAGGAGTCAGAGAAAGTCCCAAGGCTGTGTAAAAAATCCAAAATTTATTATTTGCTACCTAAGCCAATTTCACCCATCCGGCAGGACCTGAATGAGAGTAATTTTGATTGCTGAGATCTGGAAGTGCTAATGATGAAAACAACCTTCTGTTACTTTTATTATTTATTAATTTTTGAACTCCTTTTCTCACAGTGCTTGTGAGATGGAGACAGATCGTGCCTGAGCTTGTGCAAGATGAGCAGAACAACTGACTTCTCAGCAGTGGAAATATGGTTTAATGGCCCCATGAGCTAGAAGTCCAGTGTGACAGTCAACTTTCAGGGTTCAATGTTAAAGGTGAACATCAACCTACCACCTTCTTTTGTTCGTAATTAGAAAGGATGAAGTCTGGAAATCACCGAGAGATGACAGTGGGCTGCGTTCCTCCATTACAGGTTTCTATACAGCTCCTGGGCATTAGATTAACAAAATGCAATCATGCCAGGCTGAGCACATTCAGAAGCTGACAGCACGGCTGAGAGCTGCAAGCACATCCGTGTGTGATGTGAGAGATCATTACTATATAAGCGACTCCCTGAACTCTCTGCAGAACCGAGCAACCTCCTGAAGCCCCTACAGCAGAGCAACCCTCTGGGGCAGGTAATTCCCACTCACTCGATAAGGCACATGAGGAGGCACGCTCTGCGCTGCTGCTGGAACAGAGCAAACCAAAGCCCCCCCCCAGATTTTTTTAGTCAGGGAGATACCAGGGTTCAATACATGATCAAACTGCACACACAGTCTGAGGGAGGCATTTATGAGAAATGCAAAAATGCCATTTAAGTCTCCTGCTCTGACACAGAAGCATTGTAACAAGGCAGAATTGATGCTGTGGGTGATGCCCACCTCTCTGAACACCCTCCCACTAGGCGCTGACATTTAGCCCAGCGGGTCCACCCTCGCAGAAGAGCTCACAAGCTGGGGGTTCTCTAGCACAAGAGACTTCAAACCACTCAACTCCTGGCCAAAGAAAACTGTGCCCATTTCACCTTCCCCTCCTCAAGAGGGGCACCAGCCATGGTACCACTGGTACCTGCCCAGCACTGCCTGCCAGCGCCTGCCCGTGACTTGCACAGTCTGGATGGGACTGGGCATAACCCACCCCAAGGCCCCAGCCATGCTCTGCATCTGCTAGGGACGCCCCAACACCTTCATTCACCTCGTGCCGGGCAGGATCCCAACCTCTGCGGGCACAAGCACTCGTTCCCCTCTGATACCATCACCTGAAGCCAGCAGAGCAATTCAACTTCAGCATGTCAACTCCCATCCTGAAAACTGCAAAGCATCTAGAGCCACGTGTGCTCTCATCCCTTTGCTTCTCATCTTGCTCCAGCACCAGCTGGTTTGTTCCTCTCGTCTCTTTTCAGTGCCAACCCTCAGCCTTCAGAGGTGTTAGAATTTAAAATACACCCATGAACGATCAACCCCAAATTACATCCCCCCTGTCAAAACCACCGAGACCAAAGGGATGACTTCTGATGCCACTTGTCCGTGCTGGCCGTTTACTTCAGCGCCCACGGGCGGCGATGGCGCAGCCCCCTGCCCCATCCCCTCCCCACTTCTCCAAACTTCAGGTGCCTGCGCGCCCCCCGGGCGGGAGCCAAGGGCCGGCCGCCCGGACGCTTTTCTCTCTCCCGGCGCTGGCCCCCCCGAACAGGGCCGAGCTCCGAGCTGACCCCCGGCC